TCTGAGGAAGGGTCACCGGACCTGAAATGTTAACTGATTTTTTCTTCACAGATGCTGCCAGACCTGCTGAGCTTTTCCAGCAACTTCTGTTTTTGTGTCTGAATTTTCTAATTTTATATTCAGTGTGTTTATATAAAATTGCAGACACAAGGAATTTCCTAGTAGTCAATAGAATTACAGATGGATACCTTGCACCAGCTTTCAGTAAGCATTGCTTTATCTAGAAATTAGGAAGTAATTTTGCAAAAGATTTAGTAATAACATAAGAGTGATGGGGCTAGCATGGGAATATGGTGTTGAGGTGGGTGATCACTATGATTTAGAGTGACAAAGCAGGCTTGATCAGCTAAATGAGCTAGTCCTTCTCCTATGTTCCTCAGATTTCCCTTCCTCCTATGGAATCCACTTGGCAATCATTATTTCAGATTGACTGGGATTATGTAATAGGCCTGTTTGTAACCCTGTGTAAATTGAATGGGTTTTGTTTAAGTTAAAATCTAGCCCTTTGAAACATGGGCTGGGGATCCAAAACCTGCACTGAATGGCACTGCTCACTGTTACTACCACTGACTATGGTGCACTAATATTCACACAGGAGTGGCATTGTATATTATAATGTAATTAGTCCAAATTTGCAAAGAAATAATTTGTTGACCAATATTTACTCGTGTGACACACTCCAAAGCCTGCAAGCCTTACTGAAAATTTTCTGTGCATGCTGACATGTTGTGACTACAGTATGACCTGTTTGTTGATGCTTACAGGTGACTGTTACCTGACAGAATGGTCTTTGTGGAGCTCTTGTCAACTGACATGTGTGAATAATGAGGATCTTGGCTATGGTGGTGTACAGGTACGAACAAAGGCAGTGATCATCCAGGCAATGGATAATGAGCATCTATGTCCAGAACAGGAATTGGAGACCCGCTTGTGTACAGGTAAGTGCAGCTATTCCCTTGTGTAAGTTCACAACAACACAAGCATAGCCGATGAATTTCTCTAATCATTATAGAGTAAGATTCAAGTTCAGTGCATTTGCAAAAACAGCAGGTGACAAGGAAAATCTGTGTGTATGCAAAAGAAACTATTTTGCATTGCATCCCAACCAAAGTTGTTTTTCACCCCATCTCCGCTGTAGATTTGGCTAGGTGCCCTGAAACTGCCATAACTTTACTCCTGGATACACATGCTATTAAGCAGGTATAGTACTTGGATTGAAATGATTAACAGCAGAACCTATATTACAAAAGACTCAAAATGTGTCTAAAAGTGAGCTTGCTTAACAATTAATACTTTCCACCCTTCAGCTGTATCTTTTTGTGAGATCTTTGATATTCCCCAGGTACTAAGATATCAATGGATTGACATCACATTAAATGAATGATACCATGAGTGATCTAATGCCCTCTCACTACTCTACTGAAGTGTTAGCCTAAATTATACAATCCTTACTCTGATATTGATCAAACCAATTCGGAGATGAGATCTCCAAACCAAACTAAATTGACATGCAATTTAGTCGGGAATACAGGTGAAACTTCTTTACCCGGAGGGTGATTAGAATGTGGAACTGGATACCACATAGATTAGTTGCGGTGAATAGCTTGGATAAATTTAAGGGATAGCTGGACCAGTTCCTAAGAAGAATGGGCTCAGTTGAGCTAAATAGGCTATTCCTGTGTTGTATACTTGCATCTGCAAGAGAGGCCTTATCTTTTGGAAGTTCAAATCTGAATTCTGTTGGTTTTTCTGAGGGTTGTTTTAAGATGAGATGAGGGAATAGGTGGAGAACACATCAAAACCATGATTGAAACTGTTCAGGGAAGTGCTATATCCTCACTTAGTCTTGTTTGTGACTGAAAACAGACCAATGACTTGTGTCAGCAGACTAGGTTCCTCACTTACAACACAGACTGGTGAAACATTCAGTGTGATATTTCCTTTTACTAATTTAGAGGCATCTTTTTGTAATTTGCTTCATTAACTGTAAGTGGTTGCTAGGACCTTCTGGTTAGGTCTGGAAGTACACAAATATATTTGTAAGTCATAGGCTGCAAGGATTGTATGTAAGTCTGCGCATTGCTATTTATATTTTTCTAAGCACTGTGCACTGATGCATTCAGCTGAAAAATTCAGCATTCCACATGACAAATCATTAATATAAACTCATTAAAATATTATTTAGTTTTGACCTTGAGACAGCAGGTACTGCATATAGAGGCAGCTGGGCCTACTGAAACAGTTTACCATTAAAGCAGACTTTTACAAAATGATTTGTGATATTTCCGATATTCTGTGATGGGCTATGAAGAAGCACAAAGTGAACTCATTTGAACTTGAATCAGAGAAAAACTATTCAGTCAAATGCTAGGATTAGCCACATCACTTCTACGAAATAAAATGATTTCACGTTAGCTGTCCGTGTGTCTAACCACTCTAGAACTAACATTACTGCCAATTTGGATTTTCATTCGGATTCTTTCCTCAGCACCAAACACCACACCATTAGATAAGTCTGCAAGCTACGTTGCACGATTATATATCCAATATTTGGGTAATTTGTGCAATTTTAGGGTCAAATGAAAACCATGTTATTGTATTTCAGCTTTCTGGTTGTCCCCATATTGTCTTTGGAAACAGAATAAGTGCTTAGCTGGACCTATAAATTGAAGAGCAAATTTAGTGATGATTAATACTTAAGAGCACATGATGAAAATGTAGTTAGTCATAGTCAGTGTATAACTATTCCTTCTTTGAACATGGAATGACCAGTCTCATATATGCACTGAAAGTCAGCATAAGACTGGATTTAAAATAAATTGTTATTGTACAACAACAAACCCAAGAACATGCAATGCCATTGTTCCTGTTCTTGGCTTCAGAGGAGTGTGAATTGATATATTGAGGTTATATGTAACCCTGCTCTCCTGAGAGAAACTGGGTGGTCAGTCTTTGAATTTAGCTGTTGTCCATCATTTACAAGATTTACCTGCAGTGTTTTACAAGAGATAAGATGCCCACCTGGGTCAAGTGGGTGTCTTCAAAATTGTTCTTGTACGTCTTCTTCTGCAGGCTGATATGTTATTCATGCAGTTTTGTTTCTTATTGTAATGGTTTCTTATAGGTGGCAGCTGCTATGAGTATGTGTGGTTGGCTGGTGCATGGACAGGATCATACCGAGAAGTATGGTGTCAAAGATCAGATGGAATAAACGTCACAGGTACTGAGTGTTTTTCTTTCCTGAATGCACTAGGAGGAGAGCAGCATTGTCAGTGTTTTACTGGAAGGTTACTATGCAGTGTTCCTGTCTTCTTTTTCACATGCAGTTCTTTGCAGACATACAGAAAGATAGAATGAAATAGGTCAAGCTACTTGAGAATGGATTTCAGAGCCATGGAAAGGGTACAGATAATCCATATCACAATGATAAACAAAATTAAAGAACTTTACTTATGAAAGGAGATTTTAAAAACTGGGAGCTGAATTTTTATATATGCAGAATGGCTCTGTGCTCCAACCTAAATGGCCACAGAGTCTAGAATTTGGAACTCTGAGCCTTGACCCCGTATTTCACCGTTTTCACCACAAGGGATTGTGGGCGCAATGTATTTTACATATCCACATTTTATTCGAGCAGTTTAAATGCTCAGTTTAGTTCAATCAGTTACCAGCATTTCCAAAACATAGCATTAGACATTAGAAGCAAAGTTCAAATCCTTCCAAAGTTCTTCAAAGGGTCAGGTAGCCTTTGGGAGAGGTCACACACATTTTTGGGAGGGATCATGTGTCTCTTTAGGAAAAGTCACATACCAATTTGGAACTGTAAGAGTAAAGATGAACTTTCCTAAAAAGTGGAAGTCTTCTGAACTTCCAAGCTCTCAAGTCATTTAAACTACTGTTCTATTAATGTTGGAAAAGATAACAGCTTAATCAAAAGAAAAAGCAAGGGTTGCAATCCCAATAGATGTTTGTTGATATACGCTTGATGGTCCAATTAGTGTTTCTTTGCTGCTTCAGCATTCGATCACAATCACAGTGGTGAATGTTTAAGCTCACAATAGTTGACAGCTCCAAGTGGTCATTAGCTGTCTTTAATGTTAGGTTAATAAATACGAATGTGTGTTTCTATAGGGATTAAGAACTTGAAGAGATTGAACTGTTCTGAATCTGTATTTTTCAATACATTTATTTTTAGGAAATGAAGTAGTGTGATTGACATGTAGAACTATATTTCATCTCATCATGGCTGCTGAAGTCGGCCCATGGCAGATACTGGGTGAATTGGCACAGAGAGTGTAAGGGCATAGTGTGCTGGGTGGGGACATGGGTTGGTACAAGGACCATAAAGGGCCATGGGAATGAGATTTAGTCATAGCTTTGCATGAGTTGACACTAAATTTGGTTAGGAGCTATGAGGGATAGGACAAGGGCATAGGTTATCATGGAGTGTATGAGGGGTAAATGGGGGCATGAGTGGCATGAAAGAGACAAGCAGAGTGTGTGCGTGTTTGTGCATGTGTGCATGTGTGTGTTGTGGTAGTACAGGGTATTTGGAAGATTTGAAGGTTACAGGGCATTTTCTTTTACTCCTTTTATTGTAACTGGGGTAACGTCCCAGAGAATCAAGGTGGTGTTTCGAACATCCTGCCTCAGCTCTCAGCAACACCTGCACGGGTTCTGGGCTCAGTGGCCCATACTCCCTAAGCAACATTTACCACAACTTCCTCCATCAACATCCTCCCCAAAACAAATTCTGTTTGTTCCGGCAAGTTTCTCTTGAGTCAAGCTGTGGAATTGGGAAATTTCTGCACCCCAAAATGAAGTGAAAATTCAGCCCTGAGGCTTTTCCACAAGAATGCAGAAGAATAAGATGAGGTCTAACGCAAGTGTTAGGAATTATATTAGGAATCTTAACAAGGAAAATAAAGCAAGTGCTAAAGATTATATGGGATTTTTAATACCATGTTAGCAGGGGAGTACTACTTCTATTGATTTGAGTCAGCAATTAGAATTTATATAAATAAAAAATCATCACCAAAGTGATAAAGTGAATTCAGTTTCAGTATCAGATGTTTAGATCAATAGATATCCAATGACTTTGCAAAATCATGGCTGGTACATCAATACAGAAATGTTTTCTGTAGTCAGCATATTTCAGAATGTAATTTTTTTATAAAGTAAAATTTTCATACCTATATTCTTACATTACAAACATTAAATTGCTAATGCATTGCGAGTCTTCTTCTCCTTTACTGACAACATAGAACTTCAACATTTATGAATGCTCATCTCAAGTTAAAACTGGCAAATAGGATATTTTTCTAATAAGATTCTGAGACTCGGCACCAAATGTTCTTGTCTCAAGCTGTTCTATGCTGTCGCACTATTAACCCTCTAATCGAATATCAAAATGGCATCCTGATCATTTTCAACTTTCCAAAACGTTGTGTTTTTTTTTTAAATTTATGCTCATCAACAGCAAATTGTGCCATTTCTCCACAGCTGTTCAGAATTAGTTAGCTACTTGCCTAGAGTAATTCACTTGGGACCATTATTGGCAGAAATTAGAGAAATGTTTTTAACCAGTAGTCTAGGCTGGAATGAAGAGTGTGCTATGTCACTGTGACATCCAGTTGTCTGGCTAACATAGATCAGTGGCATAAGGATCCGTTAAGAGGTATGCTATAACTGAGTGCCCTCTCTGATTATCAGATCGTTTGAGACCACATGTATTTTTGTGATGTTCTTTGCAGCTCATTCGAACATATATCTGTTAGATTTTTTTAAAAATGATGAGAAGATAACAATGCAATGAAATCAAAATTATACAGCAGTTTTAAAATTTGCTGTTACTAAATATAGCTGCTTGTCTTGTAGGTGGCTGTTCTCCAGTGAACCAACCTTATGCTGACAGATCATGTAATCCGCCATGTACTAAGCCTCATACATACTGCTCTGAGGTTAGTTTATTGACTGCTGACAGCAATATAGAATTCCTGAATTCGCTACTTTCTATTATTTTGAATGTTGTAATGTTTCAAGTAACATGTTGAATGAATGACTGACTGTTTAAAATACTGAAAACTTCATTTTTCATATCTAGTCTGCAGTGTGTGTCTGTGAGGAAGGTTACACAGAGGTGGTGACAACTGACAATTTGTTGGACCAGTGCACCATGATCCCAGTGTTGGAGATCCCTTCAGTGGAGGAAAAGAAAGCAGATGTGAAGACAAGTCGAGCCATCAACCCAACGGAAACCTATGACAATGAACAAGGGCATTCGGGACACATGTGGTTCTTACAGCCATTTGGAGCAGGTCAGATAAAAAGTCAGGCTCAAAGCTCTTTAACAGTCCATCCTTAACTCTTTGACCAATGTATGAGTTTCATATTTTAGCAATTAGAGATGTCAGTTAAATATTATTACAATTCAGATTTATCCATAAGTAAAATTGTAAAAATGACTCAAGTATTCCTTAGGTGATTCAAAGACTCCCTGGTAAGTAATTTTAAAACATTACAATTTCTATTTAGCCTTTTATTTTCAAAGTGAGACAACAATACAAATGGAATTAGCTGGTAGCAATATTATGGAATTATAAGACTGTTTAATTTTTGTCCTGTTGGAAATTTTTGAGTTTGGAGCAGTAACACTCTTGATGCTCTTATGACAATAATGCTTACAACTGCATTACCTCATGCTGCTACTAATTCAAAAATGAATATTTTCTCTTTATTGTTTTTTTACTAAACTCTTTGTCTCTGAGAATATTGGCCTGGATTTTGTGGTCACAATTCTAGTGAAACTGTCAGCATTTGCCATTGTTACTCCTTTGAAACTGACAAAAAGCAGAAGTAGCAAAGTTGCTTTGTGTGATTCTGTGCTTCTCTGTGAGGTGCACTGTCAAAATTTTTGAGACAGCAATTAGAAATCACTGAACTGGTGAAAATTTCTGCTTCATGCTATAAAATCACTGTTCAAAACTCCTGAAAAAGGGATACCTTGTCAATGATGTGTAATTGGCTTTAACAGTATGTTGTGTCATAAATACTGTTTAAGGACCCCTTTAAATCTAGAAACGTTATTTTACACTGTGTAATGTCAGCATTTGCACAACGATAAAATAATGCATAGTTTTAATATAATTTTATCTTTTGTTAGATTTTTGACATTTTGACTACAATGTGAATGTTCAAATCTTTATTTTTCTCTTTAAAACTTGTAGAAAGTGAAGGATAATCAGTACATTTCACTACCTGGTTAACAAGGTGCAGGGCTGGATGAACACAGCAGGCCAAGCAGCATCATAGGAGCAGATCCTATGATGCTGCTTGGCCTGCTGTGTTCATCCAGCCCTGCACCTTGTTGTCTCGGATTCTCCAGCATCTGCAGTTCCTACTATCTCTGATTCAATCACTACCTGGTTAGTTTTTTTGCGAGGATTCATCAAAGAAAAGTACTGCTTTCCTTGGTTCATTGTTTTCTGGAAGCCCAGATATCTTCCTGACTTAAACCCAAGTTCAAATTAATGTCAGGAGATGTGAAATCCTTGTAACATAGCTAGATTTTTATAGGCAGATTTCTTTCAGATCAGTAGCATAATGCTGTGGCTTCACTGTGACTGCAAATTGTTGGCCAATATCTATACTTCCCTGCTTGAAATAATTTACTACGTATTGTTGGAACTAATGGTTATTTCCGGTATAATTATACTGTAGTGTTAAAATATAGAACTGGCTATGATAGCAATTTACAATATATAGTTGCCAGTGGAAATGAAACCATTGAATAAAGAAAATTGCAACTGCTGGAAATCTGAAATTGAAACATAAAAGCACAATCGATCAGTCAACATATGTAAGGGAAAAGACAAGTTAACTTATCAGCTGTGTATCTTCATTGGTTCTGACAGAGTATGCATCTAAATTAGGTTTGTATAGAAATGACCCAGTCTTGAGAGAGGTTTGAAAGGAAGTGATGAGCAGACGTGCAGCTCTAAGTATGAAGACTGCCAACATAAATAACATCAAAAAATATAAATAACGTGATAAGGGAAAAGAAGCCTACCTTACATGTTTGTTTTTAATGTGCTGGGGTAGAACGTGTTGTAAGATTAACAAAAGAAGGTGCATGAAATGAACATTCTTTTTAAATCAGTGATCACTTGCATAGAAAAATAGGCAGCTTTGACTAAACCACTATTATTCACAAGGACAGTATTCTCCTTGTCATTAGTTCAGGCTATCAAGCAACAAACTGAACAAATCCGTGCATATTAACAATAATTGTTTCTATTTTCATTGAAATAATTTAGTATAGATAATTTTAGCTCTCAAATGTCATTACCCATTGAGCTTGATACAAACTGGCAGAATCCTGGTGGGAATGCATTAGATGTTGTAATGTATTGTTTGGCTGGAAATGTATGTGTCCTTGTGTGTACACATCTGTGTGGCTGTGAATATACAGGTTTGTGCTGCACCTACTAACTATGTGACCCCTTCTGGCTTTGTAGCTATCATTGTTATTTAATTATCAAGTTATATCTCAGGTAACTATCGTGACTACTTGAACTGTTGAATAAACCCCAGAAAGTTGGGCTGAATATAGTGTCTTCCTGACAACGCATGATTCAGTTAAGCTACAAGACATTCTTCTGTTTTCTTCTTAACTAAAACATTGAGGATGAATTCCCTCCCTGCCCTGACCCAAGGTGGCAAAAGAGGTAGCAAGAAGGGTAAAAAAATTTGGCAAGTTTGCCCTGCAGAGAAACTCACTCCCTTCTTGTCTCTTCACCAGTCCAATGAAGCTTTTCCTTTATGCATTCATGGGATGAGGGTGTCGCTGGTCAGGCAGCATTTATTGCCCATCCCTAATTACCCAGAGGGCAGTTAAGAGTCAACCACATTGCTATGGGTCTGGAGTCATACATAGGCAGTTTCCAAGGATGGCAATTTCCTTCCCTAAAGGACATTAGTGAATCAGATGGGTTTTTCCAATAATTGACAAGGGATTCGCAATCATCATTAGATTCCTAATTCCAGACTTTTATTGAATTCAAATTCCACCATCTGCCATGACAGAATTCAAACCCGTGTGTCCAGAACATTATCTGGGTCTCTGGATTAACTGTCCAGTGATAAGACTACTAGGCTAATGTGTCCCCATATATTTGGAAGTATTTGGCAAGACATTTATGGGAGACTTTCTTGACTAACCAGCAATTGAGGCTCTTAAGTGGTCAATAAATGGTCACTTCAGACTTCAACCCACCACTTCCTCAATCACCTGTCTTTTTAGGGAACAAGAAAGGTGGCTGGTTTCCTTAGTGTGAAAACAAATTTATGAGGGGGTTGATGGTTCTGATTGCCTAAACCTGGTGGAAATTGTAGGCATGAATTATGGCAAGGAGTGGTCTTTGAAGGTTATTCCCCTGGGCATGACCCTGAATCCCAACTCCCACCCCAACTGACTCACTTTTCCCTGTGTCGCAAATCCCACAGCAGGAAAATAAAAAAGACCTACCTTTGGGCATTGGGTCACCAGAGGATTAGACCTCAACAGACAATCTTTAGGACCCAGACACAGTCAGCCTCTGGTTGGCTGGCAGCTTCTGGCAACCAAGCAGGCCAGTGTCAAAACATCTAATTGAACAAAATACTCACCAATGCACAGCCTATCGATCCTTCATGAGCAGATAGGTTAGCAATAGGTTGAGTTATATCAGTGATGGGAGCATGGCATGCCTGTCACCACCTAACATGTTCACTCCCACACTTAACAAATCAAAGGGAAAATTTCAGCCTGAGTTAAGGTGAACTAAACCTCCTGAGTGCTATCTTTTCTTTCAGGCCTTTTGGATGTAACTTTTGATGTGAATCCAGGTATTTGATTATGGGCAACTTATCCTGTTTACTTGCAGAGTTAGAAACGGTCCTTCCTGTCCATTTGTTCATTAATTGTAACTTCCTTCTTGATGAGGACAGATTGACACCTCACCCACTTTTCCTGCGAGAAAATCTATTGGGGTAATTTTAACTTTGAATGATGGTACCAAAAGGGCAATTTGAAATTAATTGCACATGACACTGTGCATTACACCTGATTTTCTTATCTTTTTAAGTCAGTGGAAACAAAAATGATGTGGTACACACAGTACCCAGTCATTTTGACATTGGTTAACTTCCCAAAGGTAAAATATCCTTCATGGTGTGATGTATTTATAATGCGCAAACTGAAAATATCACTGTTTTGATCAGTGCCAAGTTAACTGATTTTAATTGGGTAGCACGGCATTTGTCCTCTCTACCCCGGGCTAAGATCAAATACATTCTTCCCTGATGTCAATTGTATGACTCCTCTGGCTTCCTTCCAATTAATGTAACATCCCAGAAAAATTCCGCAGCACCAACTGCTTTTATTATTTTTTTTTCTTTCTCTCATTTCTTTTCCAGTGCTTTCTGGAATATCGCTACACAGATGTACAAGCAATTATTATTAGATCCACGTCTTTCCAGAGAATGTTAACATACCTTTCAAACATTGAGAGGGCAGGGGAAGGGGTTGTTCATTGCAGTGAAGCCTGATTCAATCCTACCCTGAAGTTCAACAGCATGCACTTCAGACAAAGCCCAGTCTGTCCAACCTTTCCTTGTAAAATGGTCAGTTCATCCCAACTAGTAGTCTAGTAACTGTTCTCCAAACCACCTTCAAAGTATTTACATACTTCCTTAAATAAGGAGACCAAAAACTGCACATAGTATTCGAGATGTGGCCTCATCAATGTCCTGTATAACTGAAGAACTTTTCAATAACTACAATTAAAATAATTATACCTTGAGAGTTTTGAAGGCAAAATGTTTCAGTTGATTGTAAGTGGGTTTACAGACTCACAGAATCAAGAACTGTTACTGTTCAGAAGGAGGCCATTCAGCTCATCGAGCCTACACCAGCTGCATTACCAAGTTCAGTTCTCCTGCCTTTTGTTTGCACAGCAATCTTACCCAATAATCATCCAATACTGTCTTGAATGGCTAAATTAAACCTGCCTCCACCACATTTCGAAGTGGTGTATTTCATAACCTAACTACTCACTGTGTGAAAACATTTCTTCTCCACTCATCCTTCTTCCCTTCAAGGAGATCACAGAAACCCTACAGTGTGGAAACAGACCCTTCAACCCAACAAGTCCACACCAACCCTTGGAGCATCCCAATCAGATCCATCCCCCTAAACTGTACATCCCTGAACACTTTGGGCAATTTAGCATGGCCAATCCACCTAACCTACACATCTTTAGACTGTGGGAGGAAACTGGAGCACCTGGAGGAAACCCACACAGACATGGGGAAGAACGTGCAAACTCCACACAGACTGAGGGTGGAATTGAACCCAAGTCCCTGGTGCTGTGAGGCAGCAGTGCTAACCACTGAGCCACCGTGCTGCCCAGTCCCAAACTCTTCCGTCTATCCTCACAACTGAAGTTTCTCATTCCTGAAATCATTGTTATAAATCCCTCTCTTTTCAATGAATTCACATCTTTCCTATAATGTGGTGCTGACATTATAGCTGAGGTATTTTGTACAAGGTCAATATCACTTCCTTGCTGTTGCACTCAATGCTCTTATTAATAAATCTAAGGATAACATCTGCTTTATTAACTGCTCTCTCTACTTGTTCTGTCAACCTTCAATGATCTATGCACATGTATGTCCAGGTTCTTCTACTTTTACACCCCATTTAGAATTGTGCCCCTATTTTATATTTTCTTTCAGTGTTGTTTGACTAAAGTACATCACCTCACAATTCTCTGTATTGAACTTCATCTACCACCTATTTACTCATTCCACCAACATGTCAATGTCCTTTTGGAATTCCGCATTGACCTCGTCACAGTTTATAATTCTTCCAAGAACTGTAGTGTCATCTGCAAACTTTGAAATTGTCCCTTGTGCACCAAGATCCAGATTATTAATATTCATCTGGAAAAGAAAGGGTTTCAATGCTGACCATAGGGGAACTCCATTACAAACATTCCTCCAGCCAAAAAAATATTAATTGATCATTATTGTCTGTCATCCAAATCTTCGAGTTGAGTCCAAGGAAAATTAGAAACGTTATATCTTGTGTGGTTTGTCAATTTTTTTGGCACATATTTCATTACAGAAATTTCATTCCAATACAGAAGATAATGATCTTTAAATGCCAATGCAAGATAGAAGTTGTTTGTAGAGCTGACTAAATTCCCTTTGTTTTCCTGTTCCCCTGCCAATAGTCGTGACCAATTCTATTTCTATTCTACTTCTATTCTATTCTATTCCATTCTCTTTCTATTGATCTGAATCAGTCTGTTTTCTCAACATGATTGCTTCTCTCTCCTGAAATATCTAGAAGGCTGTTGTGCATCTTTAGGACTTTCATATTTCTGCGACAAGCGAAAGCAAATAATCATCCAGAGAAGCGTTTCTATTGGTCTCCATTACTGTTAATCCCTGAACTAAATGCAAGGCATTTTGTAAAGAACTAAAATCTATAAATTGGATTTTTACATATCCTGGTTATGGTTTGATAGAAGACACAAACGTAAGCATGTCAGTACTGTATACACTGGAAGAAAAATGGCCATGCAAGCATCAAGGAATGATACTACACTGACCTCTGTTGGAAGACAAGTGAAATGCAAATAATTTACTGACTGAATGAATATTCTGCAAACTTAAAATGAAAACTGAAAAACTGGAAATATTCAGTGATCAGGCAGTATCTATAAAGAGGGAAGCAAAGTTAATGGGAAGGGTTGTTATTTTTTAAAAAAGACTCTTATTTCTCTGGGTTCAACATTTTTCACCTTCTTGGAGCTACCAGTTTACCTGAGGCTTGGGAAACCCAACTGTTCAATGTTGAATCTGAAATGGTAATAAAAGTGAGCTGTGCAACATTTTTACAGTTCAGGTATTCATTCCTAGATTACGGGCATTGCTGGCTGTGCCATTATTTATTGGTCATCACTAAATGCCCTTGAGAAGGTGGTGGTGACACACTTACTTTAGCTGGTTCAGTTCATTTGTATAGGCATTCCCTCACGCCCTCAGTGCTGAAGGGAAATGTTCCAAATTTCAGACTGTGGCAGTGAAGGAATGACAATATAATTCCAAGTCAGGGTGGTGTTTGTTTGGAGCGTAAATGGCAAATGGTGGTGTTCCTATGCATGTCTGTTGATTTGTTGCTGTTAAGCTTGTATGTGGTAGAGGTCGCAGATTTAGAAGGAGCTGCCAAGGAACCTTGGCGAGTTGATACAGAGTACTTTGCAGATGTAACAGACTGCTACCTCTGTACGCCAATGTGGAGGAAATGAACCTTTAAAGTGGTGAATGGGTTGCAAACTCCTTAGACCTGGATTGTATGAAGCTTCTTGAGAGTTGTTGGAGATGCATTCATCAGGCAACTGGAGAGCGTCCAGTCATACTCCTGACATGTGCTGGAGATGATGGGCAGGTTTTAGGGATTCAGGAAGTATTTATCTGCCTCAGAAATTTCAGCTTCGAACAAGTCATCGTAGTCACAGCATTTCTCTGGTTGATCTAATGAAATTTCTGTCAATGACAATGCCTTAAGCTATTGATTTAGAGTGTTTCAGCAATTGATAAAGCCATTGAATGTCAATTTTAAATTATAAGATTTAAATTGACTCCCCACCCTCCAAGAGTTCACCACACACTACATCCCTCCCCCAAAACTTCACCAGTGCATTTCTGCCTCTGTTAAAACCAGATGTGGATGAGTTGAAGGCAGTTCAGGGTCGACATCCAGATTTTCAAAACTTAGTCCCCCAAACCTGTCTACATCTTGAGGTTAGAATCCCTGTTTCAGGTTGAATGACCTCCTTTTTTTTCATTTATCTATACTCATTCTACAGAACCGAAACAAGTTAGGGGAGTCATAGGTTTTAATCAAGTAGAGAAGCAGAAAAAGATGAAAAGTCAAAGAACTAAGGGGAAGGTATTTGAGAGAGTGGAAGACAGGAGAGATGAATGACTAAAGTGTAAGGATCGGGGCCTTTGTACCTTCTCTGATCTTTGTTTCATTTCTTGGCTGAATATCACCTTTTGCATTGTGTTAGCACTGCTTTTCACCCGTTGTCATTTATGCTCATCTGCCTCCTAGCTTATCACGCGTTCCTTTTTGTTCTTTCCCTTTTTTCCTACTGTTGCACTTTCTTAAGCATATTTCATCTCTAACCTACTCCACTTCTAATTAAAGTTCATTGAAACATAAAAATTTATGGCTCCCTCAACACAGGGTCAGATAGACAGTAAGGCTCCTTCAACCTGGGGTCACATAGACAGTAAAGCTCCCTTAACATTTGGCCCATTTAGTCCATCCTGTCTGAGACCTCGACCTGAAACATTAACTCCATTTCTCTTTCCAAAGCTGCTGCCAGATCTGCTGGGCATTTTCTGTTTTCATTTCAGATTTCCAGCATCCACAATATTTACTATTGTATCTTATAAACTTACTGAGACACAGTAATTTATCATATTGTATAACTTCTAATTTGGCTGACAAATATCATGGGATAAACTGGGCATTTTTCCCCCATTTAAAGGCAATATGATATTTTGAAGTGAAAGTATAAGAAGTTATGATTGATGTCATTATGCTTCATGAATCATATAACTCACATATTCCTATAGGTACTTAGAGGATTCAGGTTCAGTAGATTTAATGTCACTCGTACTAGAACCACAGTATGGCATCTGATGAGATGTGTGGCAAGGCAGACTAAATGAACAAATGGTCCTTTCCTGCCCAACTCATGTACAACCTTGTAATACATTAAGAAGTCAACTGCAAATGACTCAATGTGTAGAGTAGGTTGTTTCACCAACTATTTGTATATATCAGTTGCCTTATTAAAATGTTGTAGAAGTATGCCAGAAAGGTAGGCATTACAGAAACAAGAAAACTGTAACACGTGGCAAAGAATTATACAAATGGTGACATTGTTTCAGAATAAGTCTACTGTTTTGGGTTACTGTCCATATTCACTTTTAGGTTACATCTGTGTTCATTATTAAGAGTTAACAAGGTATCTTTGCTTTATAGATGGGAAGCTGAAAACTTGGGTTTATGGTGTGGCAGCAGGAGGTTTTGTCTTAATAATCTTCATTGTTTCTATGAGCTATCTAGCCTGGTAAGTTTGTGGTGCTGTCCCATACTGTAGAAATATACAGGCATAGCTGTTACACTTTAGCGCTATGAAAGAGCTGAGTGACAGGACTGCAAACGTGTGCAAACTACTGAACTTCACATTTTATTCAAGGTAATTTCCCTTTCAAGATATTAACAAAAATGTTATTGAGAAGCCTTTTTGTGGTGCACAACTTTCTTTCAGAATTGTGAATCACCTTTAAACTACAGACTAAGAACTAAAGTTTGCAGAGTAAATCTTTCGATAGTCAAAAATATAAACCAATCCTGAAGAAAGTCTCCTATCTGCATACAGTTTATCTTTCCATAGCTATCTATTTTGCCCACACAGACCAGCATTATTGACATACTTCAATGTGTCATGAAACAGAGGGCTACTGCCTAATCCTTTCTCCAATCCAAATATTACATTATGTGACATGTGTCACCCTTAAATCCTTGCACTGCTGCAGGGTGTGTGACCAATTGCTTTTAAATCAAAAACAGCTTCAGACAGTAGCTCTAGGGGCTTTTATAAGCATGATGAAAGAAACCTTAAGTTTTCCTTAATGCAAACACCATTTTGTTAACCTTTCTCCCTTGCATGTGCTAACCACTAATTGGTGTTTTAGATTTTAACTGATATCTGACATTATGGAAGAAATATTTGCAATATCAGTTCAAATTTATCATTGCTTGGCCAGATATCGGTGTTATAGTTCCATACAGCTGACTGTCAGTTCTATTTTTTAAGTTTGCAAGAATTAACTTACTTTGCAAGCTTCACATACTAGTGTAGTTTTTTTAAAATTGGTTCAAAGTTTGTGGTAAATGCAGCATAATGGGGAAAAAAAAATCTTCATTACCGGATTCTGAAACAAATCAAGCCAGGAATGGTTCTGCTGAAATGAAATTTCTAAATTTTGTGCTGTAAGTAATTTGTCACACTAAGCAAGTCCTCGTTTTTCTTAAATAACATTTGGTGTAATGTTACAAAAAAACTTTGTATTTCTTGCACATCTCCAATCATTTGCATGACATGTAAGATTATTGTGGAATGGAATATGTTTGGTCTTTGTTACCACTTGACATGAAGTATTCTTTGCAGAATTTGCAGAAGGTAAGATGTTGTTTGAACTTGGAGCTTCCTCTACACTAACTGAACCTGCCTTGGATTCGAACCTCACAGTTGGATCCTGTCTGTTTCAGTGTCATACTTCCAGCTTTTAGAACCAGATGCTTTCATCATTTCTTTGCTTAAAGTGACCGTCTTAGTATCATTTATTTAGTTTAGTATGCTGAATGACTAGTTTGTGATGCCAACAGCACGGATTCACTTCCATCCCAGCTGGGGTTACCATGAACAACCATTCTGCCACTTCTCAATCTCACCCCTTGCCTGAGCTGTGGTGACCCTCAGGTTGAACTCACCACCAGTCATCTCTCGCTAATGAGAGAGCAGCTTATGATCCTCTACGACTTTAGCGACTTTCACTTTTCTTTCACTTATTGAAACAGTGGCAATTAAATCAAATGATTGTAACAATTAGATACATAACTGGTTCAATCAATGACATAGCACTGCACACATGACCAATCAGATGGTTTCACCAGGGTGGGGTTGATGCTGGTGTTGCTTTGCATTAAGTGGAGTGCTAGGGGAAATCCTGCAGATCTCATTTTGTTCATCCTCCAAGATGAAGAGGCTCATTCTCTCTTGTGTTTCCACTGGGTACCTGAATGGTTGGGTTGATCTGCACACAGAAGGCTCACACAGATACCACAGATGATTTGAGTTTTTGTCATCACATTTCCTTTCTGCCTTTGATATGTACTTGCTTTCAAAGGATCCCATATCATTTCTTACTTAGCTGAGCCACATGCAGAAATGCTGGATGCGTTTCACCCAAGACTTGAAGTAGATATCAAAATTCCTAAGAGAAGCCTTCACAGTGTCTCTGTAGTGCTTCGTTTGTCTGGTCTGAGTTCACCCCAGACTGAAACTCCCCATTGAAGACACTCTCTTTTCACTGAGTTCCAGGAATTCTGGTTACATCTGTCTACACTACTAACATTGGTCATTGCTGAGGCTGCAAGTTAAGGCATCTCAATGATCAATGTGCTCTCAAGGAATGGTAAGTGATGTTGGGAGAAGGCATACCCTATCAACCAGATGGGCCCAGTAATGGTTCTGGGTGAGTTGTGGTTATGATGCACAGGCAATGTTGTCACCACAGGGACTGTTTTCGGAACTGGGGGCTCTCATGTGGGCCATAGCAAAATGTCTATAGACTTAAATGGCTCAATTGGGCTTCTGGTGAGTAGCCAATTTGCCAACTCTCCTGCCAATGGCAGCAGGAAGATATCAGTCATGTCCCAATCCCCTCCTATCCTATTTTGCCAACCTGCCACCTCCCACCTCCTTGCCAAGGATGGGTAAAATTCCTATCCAAATGTGCTGTACAGCTTTGTGACAGTTCTATTTAATTTATACCCTCCCCTTCCTAAAGATACTGATTCTTTCTGTGATACATAGTTTCACAGGAAAAGATCCCAATCAGGTGTCCTAGCCAAGTGATGGCTTTCCAGTTGTGAATTTAGAATAAAAATTTTCGCAGAGTATTTAATAATGAGTCATCCCTTGCTAGCCAGATCCAGTCTTCACCCCAGCAGAAGTCATTGTTTACAATTCTGGTGTTGAAAGCTTGACAATATTTCCACCCCTAACTCATAATACTGTTTACAGTAGCTCTAAATGTGATTTACAGTACTTTGAAATGTGATTAGCTTGCTTCGGGATTAAACCTAAAATATTCTTCTGTGCATATTGCTATAACATTGTAACATCATATAAGGGATGTTTGCATGCTAATTGTAACTTGAGTATTTGTCCTATCTTATTTGTAGCAAAAAACCCAAGAAACCACAGAGAAAGCAAAACAATAAGCTGAAACCTTTGACCCTGGCATATGATGGAGATGCTGACATGTAATTTCCCTTGTTGCTTGAAGATCTTTCCCAGTCTTTCTTCATTAGTGTAAGGTATAATGTGCAGCATGTATGTCTGGTCTACAGTCTTATAGGGAATTCTGGAACAGTTCGTCAGTTTCTAGAGCACTGTGACATTTTTACAGGAAGATGGATGGCAAAATATACCACAAGATGACACACTCATTATAATACAGGCTTCAAATGATAAAACTGCCTATTGTTAACAAGTTGAAATATTGCTAAAGAACTTCTCTGCAATGCACCAAAGCAAATTATGCTTTTATTTGAAAAGGATATTAAGATACAAGTGAAAGGGAAAGCTGAACTTTGTATTGCTTTTTGTCCGATGATTTTATATCGAATGCAGTGATGATGTTTCAGGTGAGAAAGTTATCCAACTATAACAAGAGTCAACTGAAAAACTGACGACTGCTCACAGACCTAATGCACAATTACCAGAAAGAACAGACCTAATGGAATGAGAACTTTAACTGTGAATCCAAGACCAGAGCATTTCAAACTGATGACTTTCCAATGTTACTGCAAAAAGGATCCAAACGTTATACTTCTATCAATGTGAAGGCAACAATTTATGCAGCAACCCTGAATAATATATATATGCTTGGTGACAAGTTAATGGTAAAAGCAAGAAGGACAGCCAAATAGCTAGAGTTTCTCAAACAGCATGATGCTCAAGAAGTGCAAACTATGATAATAAGAAATACAATGAAAACTATTCAACTGGGAAATTGAAGTCTTAAGTATTAACAGCTTAAATATTGTTCTCGTTAACTTTCCATGCTTTATGTCTGAAACTGTCTATGTATTTCCAACAAATTAGCCAATTACTCCAGTATATACTGCTGCCGAAAATGGCCATACCTAACTATTAATGTTTCAAACTATGATATTATTTAATCCAACAAATGAAATGGTCTCTTAAATGCCCTGAACAACATGGTCAGCAACACTTCTGAAATGTGAGACACTTCTTTGCACTATATTAGTGCTGCATGATATGCACTCAACCTGTCATCACTTTAGAAATAGCATCTTTCTAGCAAAAGTGTCTCCCCTCGGTAAAATAAAATAGATAGTTTGAAAAGGAGCAAACTAATCTTGTTTACTCATGGATTGCAACAGTTCTGTACTGTGGCAAAATGAAGTCAGAGTATTTCAATTAGTGTATGTACAGACATATGTATGTGTCTATAGTCACTGCAGCTATTTTGTAAAGTGTATTATCGGTGGTCAGTATAGTTGCAGTATTTATAGGCATCTAGTTGAATTTTATGAAAAATGTATTTGTTCTGATCTTATGTGCTTATGTTGTGCAAACATTTCACTAGCTGTTTTGCTAGTTCAATCTTTTGTACTGTTTTTCTGTTGCTCCTTTTAAAAGGGTGACATTTTTTGGCTACTTTGTTATCATTACCAAAACATGAAAAAGAATAGAAATTGCGGTTAGCAGACAAAAAGGCAGAAATCCCAATCAATTCTAATTAAAACAGCTAACTTGCAGAAAACTCAATGTTGCCACACAGTTCATTTCATCCAAATAAAGTTATTTGTGAAAATTATGAAATTTATGGGAATAGGTATCCATTTATAATGCTAAATTTATTAATGCTAATTTGCTAGTGCTTTATAAGCTCTTCATAGAAAATAAGTTCATTCTATTATTCTGATACAAAGTATTCAGGAGTGACTTGTCCAAAAGAATTATGATAAACCTGAGAATCAGAGCACATTAAACATACTAATCATCATTCATCTACATAACAGGACATTTTATTTTCCTCTAAAATATACTCTTACATCAACATTACCTCTTCCAGGAAATCATCGACATTTGAAGGGAACAAAATTAATTCTTTTGGTTCGCTGTAATCAGAATATACTTTTCCAATGAGACCCTTAAATGAATTGCTGAGACAAAGTAACTGTTACCTGCTGGATCATGGTATATGGCGTGTCCAAGGAAACAGGATAATTTTTTTTACAATCTGAATTTCCATTAAGATATTGGGAGTTCTATTTCAGATACTAAACGTAAAAACAAATTGTACAAATGGTTAATGTGCTGACATCTGTCACCTTGCTGAAACAAATTGTCAGTGAAGAGTTGGCACCACACATGAAATTAACTCAATACTGTCTCTCCCAGTAGGTTGCTTGCATGCTTATTGAATGAAAGTGGCATCTGCAAACAGAATGTGTTTCTCTTTCATTCCAATGTTTTACTGTTAATTTGTAGATATTGTCATTTTTTTAATTTTTTAAATTATGTTTATTTTCTTTTTTAATTAAAGCAATGTATAACCTCCAAAATTTTGTGGGGGTAAATGAATCCAAATTTTATCGAGTAATGATTATATTTAAGATGAAAGATGTGGCACGTGCTTTATAGCAGGTTACTGTTTGATAACATTTATTCAACCTGAAGCATTAAATAAAAAAAATTGTCAACAGTTGAATTATTTATTTGCATTAATTTTATCTGAGCAGACACCCAGACATTCAACAGCTTTGTAGCCAAATTCAAGTGAAATAGCATCTTTGCTACCGATCCCTACTCTCCATATTGCAGTTTCACGCTGCTACTTGGTCAGAAATGCCAGCGGATGTTGCAGGTTCCAGATCCTGCCACCATATAGAGGAGGATTCCATTTGGCTGTGGTCTCGCCAACATGTCACTTCCCACTGCCTCTGGCTCAGCCATTTCTGCACTATGTAAGTTTCCACAATGGAATAGATCATGTTCCAGCTCCCCAGCTTTTGCCCCTGGGTAGGGGAATGAAGCGAGGCAGTGGCTGGAGGAGCAGTTGTTCAGGAGCACTGCTGGACTGCCTGCATATATGGAGAAGTGGGATTGTGTGGAGTGAGAACAAACTCTTGATTGTGTTTGAGTGGGATGGGAAGTTCTTGGAGATGAGAAAGCAGGACCAGGGAATCTTACGTGGGGCGTAATATATTAATATGCAAGAAGATTGGTGAATGGACAGGAAGGAAGGACAATGAGGCATTTTAAAGTTGTTATCTCACAAGGACTGGTTGTGTGGTTTCAGCTATTTGATATATTAGTAAATGACTTCAGAACAAAGGAGAGAGGATGGGTTCAAACAGCAATAATCACCAACTGCCATATCTTAATTGGTGTTCGAGGGTCAGTTGGCATCACTCCATCTGCAACCAATCTGAGCATGGGTGACCCTGTACCCCCAAGAGAGACTGAATCTGTGGGTGGTTGTTACTTCAGTCAAAAATCTGTTTCACATGCTCCTCTCCTCACAGGCTGTTCCTGTTTTTGCTACAGTTAGATTTAAGTAGTGAACCTATCATTATCACGAGAGAATAAATATTAGGAAAACTAATTTTGCTAAAGGCTGATGGCACCCTGGACCTGAAGGTTTGTACCCAACTGACGTAAAAGAAGTGGTTACTTAAAAAGCAGAAACATTGATTGTAATTTCCCAGAATTCTAGAAATGTCCCAGTAGGAAAGCCACAAATGTAACACATTTCATTCTTATTATTTTTGGAGCATTGAGGGAATCATAATGCAATCAAGCCAAGTCACCTTGGTTTTGTGAAAGGGAAATCATGTTTGATAAATTTGTTAGAGTTATTTGAGGATGTAACATCCTCAAGAATGGATTCTGGTACCTTCCCAAGCACATGTCAGGCTAAAAACATAACACAACTGTTCATTGACTCTGTGACTTAATCTGTGTCTGTATCCATGTGACATCATCAAAGTGGGAGCTACTAATCACAAGCTTCCAAATATCAAGAAATAGTAGGAACTGCAGATGCTGGAGAATCTGAGATAACAAGATGTAGAGCTAGATGAACACAACAGGCCAAGCAGCATCAGAGGAGCAGGAAGGCTGACGTTTCGGGTCTAGACCCTTTTCTGAAGAAGGGTCTAGACCTGAAATGTCAGCTTTCCTGCTCC